AATATTTGAATATACAAACTAATATCAATAGATACTGTGTTTAATAGGAAAAATTACTATATTTAAGTTTCATTTCAAAATATTTGTAGGTTAGACTAGCCAAAGGTCGCCAATCAACCCCGAGGCGGTTACAATGGCGATCACCATAGCTATCGTCCTAAATTACGAGAATTCGTTCCTCTTGGAATATTATTTATATTACACCTATCAATAAGTTGTAAATCGATTTCAGTGAAATAGAGGGCACTGAATTATTCGAAAATTGTATATTTTTATACAACAATGTAACATGACCCCCAATAATATCGTTAAAAATCAAAACATAAAATGTTTTAACGGTACAGCGTACTGGTACGCTGTATCGGCTTATTTTAACCTCTGATTGTGAAACATTTCAAATTGTATAAAAATGAAGAACATAAGGGAGATATAGTCATATATATAATTAAAGACATCCAAAACTTAAAGTTAAAACTTTTTTCAGGCATATACTGGTGTGGAATACGATTATTGCTAATTATAAATTCATCTTCATTTGTCAGAAATATGACACGAAAACAAGAAATATACGTACAAATTCACAATTGTCTAAACCGCAACAAATAATAAAGTTTCTGGCAAATGTTATTTTTCGTGATAAACATTAGATTTGAAAGAACTATATAACAACTTAGCAGTAGTGCTGTATTAGGAAGGGATTCCCGTATTGGTCTTTTACATTGTTACGTTATAGTTTTTTAGCCAATCACCTACAGCCAAGTAGTATGCTATTAGCTGTTCAATTTAACATTGCTGATTCTATCGAAGCTTTTTGATCAGTGATATTACGAGTGTGAGGGATGAGTACGTAACTGTTTGCTGAACGTTTTCGGCTCTTCCACCTGATATTGATTTTTAGAAGTAACAACAAACAACCCCACGTAATATGTCCGGTTTCTGTTGTAGTCTGAATTCTGTTTGGTCCTTTAGGAATGTATCACGTGACCCGGAAGTTACGGCTCAACCCTTATATTTTAGAATAAATCACGCTACAGGTTAGCTTTTTTGAAGCTTATCTTCTACTAATTTTTGTTTGGTCTGTTAACAATGTATCTCACGCCCTGGAAGTTGTGGCTCCGCCTTAATCTACTTATATGAACTCTCGCTAGGATATAGCTTTCTCGTAGCTCCGCCTTTATTTGTCGGTTTCTAACAAATTGCAACCTATTCTGGTTAGGTTATTTCATCAAATTACGAGCTACAATTATTAAAAAGTTCACCTCACTTGAGTTATTTCTGGAAATTACACGTCACTTTTCGTGTTTTTAATATATTTGAAATATTACAAGATATAGCTGTCAAACACTCCACTTATCCCATTTGTAGTTATTTCACCATATTACAAACTACAATTCTTGAAAAGCTCCTTTTTTTTTTATTCTAGCGCAACTCGTGTTAAAGCCTAATGGGAATCGACTCACGAGATCTGTTGAGGAAGAATGACACGATTCACTTTATCAGAATTACCTTTAAAATACACCCAACATTAATGGTAATTTAATAGTTAAATGAAAATAAGTAATTATTTTTAATTTTTTCATAACACGACAATTGTTATAACATATCAGTGGCGTAAAAGTTTACTTTCAACGAACCGGAAATGGTCGTTTTGAAGACAGATAGTTCGTTGTTGTTTTGGTTCCGCTGTAATTCTTCCAAGTTAGGGTAGCTACCGCCGTTCACTCTCAGTATAGAAATCGGCTTTTCTTTTCGATAAATAAGAATAAAAGTAAACGTTTTGTGGAGTTGAATAATTCATCTTCGCTGGAACACATATGGTTGATGTAGGTTAGCCACAAAGTCAGACAACTTAATATAATTGCGACTAAAACACGTTAAATACTTTAATCAGTGGAAGTAAATACGATTTTGGAGTTTACAAAAATATATAATTAAGCTATATGGCATAGTATGTAAATATTCACAGGATGTACAATAAGTTTCTTAATTGAATATAATGAAAAGTACATAATATAATCAATTATACGCTTATATCAGAAGTTTTTCCATGGTCAGTGACGCCGTTACTACACCACGATATAGGCACGTTGCCACATCCCAAACCTCTATTTAAATAAATAGAAAACAAATAAGTCTTCCATATGCCGCGAACCGTATGAACATTTAACAACTATCTGTCACAATTTGAAGTCCTTATATATATTTATTTTTTTTTTTACATCGGGTAAACTAATCCGTCGCAGAATGTATGAATGTTCATTGGATGTTGTTTGTGTGACGTCATAAGTTGTTGGCACTGGATATATAGATCAAACCAGTTCACTCGTTCTCTTATAGGTTGTACTTTGCAAGTGTTTCTTGGATAATCCAATAGGAGTTTAGCTACATATATTAACGATCCAAAGAAAACAACCAACCAAGCAGAATAACTACATCCTGTATTGTGGTTAACATGATGTATAATTAAATTCTTAAAATATTCAAGACGGGCAACCATCATCCGAGAAGAAATGACAGCCAGCCAAATATGCCCCACCTCCGATGGCAATTTATGATAATACGACGTCAAGCACCTTAAAGAACAACTAGTGACATCTGTAGTTGTTAACAAGAAACAAAAAATATTCATGTAAACATTAGGAACATGTGTGGGTATTTCCATTGATGATGTTATAACACATTCTCCTTTGCTTTCATACACGGGTACTTAGAATAAGTATATTATAGAAAGGAAGACAGGGAGAAATAGAATAACTTTGATGATCTATAGTACCATAAAACATCATAAAACTACCACTATTGTGTGAGTTGAAAAGCTTTGAATCAAAAATAAACAAATGCACATTTTTCTCAAAGATTAAATTAAAGTGCAGGTTCGAAATATCACTTACGATTATAAAACGGATAATTTGTTTATTTAGAAGTGAACTGGCAATAATATTTCTTGATCGCAGTGGTGATTATTCTCAGAGCAGGTCATTCTATTTAACGCCTCATAAAGGTGGGTACATTCATTATATACAAAGCTAACACTGTGATTCATCATTTTGAGATAAATTACACCACTTTTAGTACCCTGAGATAAAAAGACTTAAAAATAGAGAGAGCCGAGGGTTCAATGCATAGCCCTTCCAATAGGAATTTTAATATATTTACTCATTTTTTTCTTTTAATATTTATAAATCTTTCCACTTGAATTTTGGGAATTCAGTTTCCAAATTATTTGTTTTAAAAGTGGTCAATTATTTTGCTAACGGTATTAGATCTACAAAAGTTATTATCATTATTGTTTACTTTATAAATGCTCTTCCGAGAAAGGCGTGTTAAGATATTATATTTAGTCGTTATTTTGTAGGCCTGGCTTGGTCTGATAGGTCGCGAGTTCGATTCCCGTCACCGAGCAAGCTCGCTCTTTCAGCCGTCGGACATTATTATGTCACGATCAATCCCACTATTTGTTGGTAAAAAGTACCCCAAGAGGTGGCGGTGTGTGATGTTGACTAGCTGCTTTCCTTCTAATCTTCACTTGAAAATTAGGAATGGCTAGCTCTGATAGCCGTCGAGTAGCTTTGCACGAAATTCCAAAGAAACCAGACCACAAAACAAACAAACAAACAATCGTTATTTGGTAACATGAACAAACTTTAAAACGTTTCCCTGAAAACTTAAAGCAGAAGTAAATAACAAACATGTCATAATATGTCCACAAACATTTACCAATGCCAAACTACAGTTTTATTATTCTTAGCAATAATTTGTTATACAAGTTGTGCCTCTATTATACATCATACTTTTTCGTGTTTGGTTACAGTTGTTATAAAATTTACAATTTACGATCTAGGCCTAACGGATTGTATTGTAAGGTCTCCGTCCTTGCAAGACTTCGATGTAAACCACGCCCACGAGGTATTTTTCAGCCAATGATAGAAATTGCAAACTTTCTAACATAAATAATAATCATGCAGTGAATATGAATAAGCCATATGTTATCAATAACTACATTGTTATAAATTTGTATAACTTTAATATTTATATATACCTTTATGAAAGCGTAATATGTTTATTTTACAATAAATATGAAATATACCATTTAAAACCTAGTATAAACCTACAGCGTTTCTTCACCGAATAGCTTAATAGCAGTGACCAATAGGAATTGTTTTCCGTAGTCCAGCCAATGATCTCTTACACGAAAAAACACTACACATCTTTCATATTTTATAATTTGGAACAAAAGCCATTATCACAATATTTTTATTTAGTGTTACAAAAATATATGCATCGTGAATTTTCTTTCAAAGTATATATTTTGGAGATATATTTAATTTTCTTGCATAACTGTGTACAATAAATGTTATAAAACTGAAAAGGTTAAAAGTGTTTCCCGTTACATAGATTACGTTTGTCTCCATTATTTAAGTTGGTAACATTGGTTACGAATATCACTATAAAATTATTTATTAAAAGTAACATTTGTAATATCCATAAAACCTATTGCTTTCGTTGATTGTAATAAATGAAGTGTAGATGTCACTTTGTTTTTCCTATTTTGGAGCAAGCTTGTCGCGGTGGTAAAATATAGTGTTTTTGATTTAAAATAGTTAAATTAAAATAATAAAATAAAATGGCAGGTTTTTTAACCAGACGTTTAGCACTATCGACATTATCTTTTTGTGAAAGTCGCGTAATAATTGTATCTAATGCTTCTCAAACAGTGCTTTCAAGAAAATTTTCCGGTAAGCTATAGCATGTTGTTCTAAGTTACCTAATTAGGCCTAGTTTTACAACGTGCAAGTATAACTGTAGTATAATTTGCAACTAAAAGTAAAACTGAATTTGCTAATTATGTCGGTTTGGTGATGTTTTATTAAAACTTAATATTAATGTAACAATGCACTAGCTCTGTAAAGTGTAACAAGCCACGAAATAGGTGTACTTACCTAATTCAATCTCATTAATCACTTTTTGTTTTAAAATTTAATGTTGAACAATTTCTTTTGATCTGCGAGAAACTTAGTCTTAGCCTTACTGAAAAAGTTACTCTTAATAATAAAAGTCTTACTGAAGGTCTAGAAGTATTAGAATTTATAAATTCAGTATAGTTTCATATCAGTATATTATGTATAGTAATAATAATATTTAATATATTTTTATTTATCACACTCTTAAATACAGAAGACTTATGTCACTTTTCTTCACCGTACTGAGGCATCACTTTCATTTATTATTTTATGATTATTTTCTGTGAAACTGTTACATTCAAACATTTATTCTAATTAACGTAAGATCATTATACAAATAATTAATTCTCACCATGAAAGAAATTATCATACTTTATTACACAAAGTTTGAAAGGTAACAAACAGTATATTTCGTGTTCCATTACATTAAGTAAGATTGAATTTTGGTTACTAAAAGTAGTGTTAATAAAATGTAAATAGGCTTAACTGTAGAATCTGTTAATGACATTGAGTTAATTACTAAGTAGGATTTAAAATTTGATTTCAGAGTTAACTTTTAGACACCTTTTTGTCCAACTATTTCCATGAGATTAGGGTTAAGTTCTTTATAGACCATTCTAATGCTTATACTTATAGCAGACTTTTCCACTATTTAAATCACTTTACAGATTAGACCAGAACAAGAAATCCTCACACTTTTTTTTCACTTAGAAAGAGAAATATGTAAAATCTAGGGCTGTAATTGATGTGTATTTTGAAGATTTGGAACACATTACCGAACGATGGATTGAACATTCAATAGTACTTATTAATAACTTACTCATGATATCACCATAAGTACTAGGTTATATCAGGTTCAAAATTCTTTGTTTTACAGGTAATGTATACGAATGGAAAAAAAAACATGTAGTTTAAAAATATGTTATGTAGAACAGTAGTCATGTTTTATATTAAAAACAAAACATTGTTTATGTACAGTACTTGATGCTATTTCCAGTACTTGTATAGCTACATACAGTAAGCTTGTATTGTAAGAGCACCCTATTGGCCAGTTAAAAGAACTGCAGCTGATTTAAGCAAAACCAATCTATATTCAACAGCAGATTAACAGTGATAGTCTCTCACCATAAAATTCTTGATTAAGCATAATAAATAAATAGCAAAACAGAACATTGTAGTGCTGTTTGATTAGAAAATAAATACAGACCTTCAATTGTAACAGAAAGTTATAAGACAATGTTATTGTCAGTCACATGTTTATAACAACATTGTTGATTAATTAAACATGCATCTTGTATTAAGGTATTAATCAAATGAATATTTAATAAAAATAATTATAAATATACAGTAAAACGGAATAGAGTAACAGTAATACTGGTTATTAAATAAATACAGACCTTCTTACATCTTGTACACTTGACATTCAGTTCATTGTATTTGAACCAATGCAGCTGTTAGAGGTACCACTCTGTACTCTCATAATGGACTGCTTCAGTGCAGGGAAGGAGCTGCCAAGTATTAAAAGTTTTTGTGTGTGTTTTTAGTATAACTTGTTTAAGTAAGGGGCATTATAAAGATCAAATTTTCCATGCGAGTAACACTTAATATCAATAAGATATAAGAAAAAATTTTGACACTGCTTGAATGCCACTCGATGAATCTCAGAATGTTTAAAACTATCTTCAAATTTCTGGCTAGAGAACAAGCCATTAAACCCAGCTCTAGTGGAATTATGATTGCCAAAAATGATGCTTACCATTTATATTATAGTAGTGTAACAATCTTACATTTTTTAAAGATGGGTAGACTCAGTAGAAAAAACTATCAACCACTCAACTAGAATACAAAACAAAGTTAACATAAACATATTTTTTTAGCTGAAATGCTACAGAAGAAATAAACAAGTTATTAAGTAAGTATAATATTCCACTATACTCAAGACCAGGAAAATTTTATAGCAAAATATAAGAAATATTGGTCGGACTACACGTGGCTTCTCTATAATTTTTTATATTTTATAATCTTGTTGAGTCATGTGACGTCCGATTCTATGCTATCAAGAGAGCCCTATTTTTGCGGAAGTCTATGGAAGTAGGCATTGTTGAAGTCAAGAATGGCGAGGAGAACATGTACAGCTCTGTCCCAAATGACTAAAAGCTTGTTTTTGTTTCCATGTGGGTGGGCAACTCGACCATGCAGAGGCCAAATGTACGGCAAGAAAACATCCTTGAATTCCGAAAGGATATCAAAAAGCTATTTGAGCTTGGTGAGATAGATTCCTCTCACAAGAGAGGCCTAGGAACGATGCTAGAATATCTGGTAAAGAAGTATCCAGAGAGAAGAGATAACTCGTCTGAGGAAACTATCCAAGACAGTAACGACGTCTTCTAGAAGTCGCATATTCACCACATCTCAGCTGTCTGTCTTGGTGGAGCTTGTGCAGTTTTATCTGTCTCAGTTCTCTGTCCCTGTATGCATGCAATTGTATTGTTCTTCTGTAACAGTCTTGATTATCTGTCTCGTCTTTCCTTGTATGTCTGTCATCATACTTCTGCTATTCTTGCTGTGTGCATCTCACACTTGTCTAATTTCTTCATTTTTGGTTGTCTATGTCTGCTCGTTGGACACAAGAACCAAGTGGAAAGTTAAAAAAAAGTGGAAGAAGATGCAGCCGATGCCATATTACTTGCATAGATAATGAAAATCATGATACAATGCATTTTCACTTGTTGCAGCTGTATCACGGACGAAGAGACAGAACTAAAACAGTTATTACTCCTTGGTACTATAGCAGAAGAAGAGTGGTCAAGACCCCAAATGTTTTCCAATCATTGATTTTTATTGTCACCCAATCATAATGAGACATTGAATGGGGCACCAATCACACAACAGTTCCAAATATACACTATGAGTGATTATCACGGGAAGAATGTCCACCCCTTCTGGAGTAAACCTACTTATTACCTGGTATTACAAGCATGAAATGTTGTATCATAGAAACTACACAGATTTGAGGTTTTCAGATCATTCCCTTATCCAGACTTAGTCAATTTGGGGGGAAAAATTTTGGTATGGGTAGGGACTATTTTCTACCTCACAAAATCTGCAATTTTGGTCTGGTTGACTCTTACACTAGATGTTAAATTTGTGAAAATGCTTAAATTTCAAAATTTATGGGTTTACTATTAAAAGATGTAGAGGAAACTATAACATCATTTTAACAAATTAGTTTTAAAATACCTTGCTTGAGAAACTGGATGACCTTTGACTTCAGATGGAAGAAACCTTTGTTTTTTAATGTTTCAGTTGTATCAAGGAGCTGCATAGAATTCAACCAACTTATGATATACTACATACTTTTTATCATGTTAAAAGTTATTTATGATAAGCTTTCAGCCCTTATTATATGAAGTATTGTACAAACAGTGCTAAGTGTTCAGTTGCCTTTTGAAGGCTCAGAAAAATTGCACCGTTCTATTTTTTTCTTAAAAACCTTAATTCCGATTAGTATTGAGTTCATAGTTATTTTTATAACCCAAGAATTTTTACACCTGTGTGGCTGGCCCAGTTGGCAACCATACAGGAGGGGCATGTTTGATGATGGGGATTTGAACTTGCAACCCTCAGATTGTGAGTCGAATGGCCTAACCACCAAGCTATGCCAGACCTCACAGTTTCTTCTGTGTAAATAAATCTTAAAATTGTATGTGTGTATGATTTTAATATAAATCAAACATTACAATGAAACTTAAAAATTCAACAGTAATAAATTTTTTCACACTTTGCATTATTAATATCACCATTTTTACAGGTATTATTATTGTAGACTTCTGGTGTATATAAACACAAATCAAACATTACAATGAAACTAAAAATTTGACATTTATTTTTACATAATCAGTCCTAATGTCTGTGGCCATAGCACCCAAACATGTTAGGAGATATTCCATCTATTAGACAAGATCCAGATGCTGGTGCCAAACTAGCCAGCAACTGTAAACTTAGGGTTAGGAGTCGAGTGCTTGAACCCACAACGTCTCACTTCCAACTGCTTTTTGCTCTCTATTAGACAAGATACAGATGCTGGTGCCAAACTAGCCAGCAACTGTAAAATTAGGGTTAGGAGTTGAGTGGTTGAAGCAACAACGTCTCACCTCCAACTGCCTTTTGCTGTCTATTAGACAAGATCCAGATGCTGGTGCCAAACTAGCCAGCAACTGTAAACTTAGGGTTAGGAGTTGAGTGGTTGAAGCAACAATGTCTCACCTCCAACTGCCTTTTGCTGTCTATTAGACAAGATCCAGATGCTGGTGCCAAACTAGCCAGCAACTGTAAAATTAGGGTTAGGAGTCGAGTGCTTGAACCCACAACGTCTCACCTCCAACTGCCTTTTGCTGTCTATTAGACAAGATCCAGATGCTGGTGCCAAACTAGCCAGCAACTGTAAAATTAGGGTTAGGGGTTGA